CATAATTGAATTCTTGCGAAAAATTTTCTCAAAATTTTTGAAAATAATTTTTTTTTTATTTCAATTATTTGTGGATTTAACTAAAAGAAAGAAAAAAGTAGCTTTTAGTATCAGAAATCTAAAAAAATAACCAAGTAATAGTAGCAAATTGTAGAAAAAGTAGTAAATAGTTGGTTTTAGTATAGATGAGTACAAAGCCTGCAATTATAATTCTTCAAAAAGTGGATTATTTTTAAAAATTGAAATATATAAAAAATAGAAGACAACAATCTGCTATAAACGACAATCAATTATTAAGTCATTAAAGGAAAATTTGAAACGTGCTATTCCGCATTTTACTGCAGATGAAGATTTCGAGTTTTTATCACTGCGATGAGGACAAATCGCATTATTAATCAGTACTCGCTTCTCTAATTGAAGAACGAAAGTTACAAACCTAAATTCTCAAGTTTTCAAATAAATACTGTTAGTTCTCTTAAATTCACAATTTCTTTAAATCAAAAATAAAAAAAGAATTTTATTTCTCTAAAATCGAATTTAACAAAAATTTAAATCTACTATATATAGAGAACTTGAAAGTCTGCCAAAACATAGAAGGGGAAAATTGTATCAATTGAATCGATTCTATTCTATAATTTATGAAAAGCTTTCAAGAAAGAGGAATTTCATTTAAATGATAAAAAGTTGCCGAAAAAAGGAAAGAAAATAATAATGTATTTAAACTATATTACGAGAGACTTTTATAATGAAACAAAGGAGAATGAAAATATCAAGGGGAAAAAAAGAAACTTCCTACTGTCAAAAAAAAATGTAATTCGCGCTTTTCAATTGACTTTTGCCACTTGAACTTTAAAACCGGACATTTCATGCAAATTGCTCAGTTCGTTTTCCGAAGAGTCAATTTGAAATCGATTGTTGTACCCGCGGAAAATATTGTTTACCTTGATAATTCGATTTGTCCAACAGTTTGATATTTTTTCTCTCTACTTTCAATTAATTTTTTTTTCTTCCTTTCATAGTCAAGCTTTACATCAAAAGTGGCAAATACAATGCTTGAAATACGGTATTCAATTCATTATTATTAAGAAAATCGTGAATATTTTTATTTTTTAAACAACTTTAATTTTTTGAAAAATGTTTTTAGATTCAATTATGAATTTTGAAAAATTCACTTATTAGCTAATTAACTAATTAACTGCGAATTTTGAATATTACCTATGACTTTTTTTACTTTTTTGATGATTTTCAATAAATATGACTTTTTTCGACTTATTTTCAAAAATTGTGACTTTTTCGACTGTAGGCAAATGTTTAAAAAATTATTTAATTGAATAATTTATTTAATTAAATTTTTGAAATAGACAATAAAAACAGGGTGTCCAGCGTCCGGGAAATGCGTGAAAAGCGGAAATTGTACGGGAAATTTTTTGGTGCGGGAAATGTACGGGAAAATACAGGATTTTTTTCTGACACCGGGAATTTTAAGCACAGGGATCGAACTAGGTCCGTTTTGTTTAAAGTCCGTAATTTGTTTGAAAAAGTACGAAAAAACCGTAAATTGTACGATATAATTTGGAAAATTTTTGAGAAGTTACGAATGAGTGCAGAATTTCAATTATTTTTAAAAGTAATTAAATTCTTCGCAGAAATTCAATTATGTTTTAAAATTTTGTAAGATTCTCTTTAAAATTTCAATTATCTTTATAAATAATAAAATCCTTCTCCGAAATTCAATTACTTTCAACAATTTTAATAAAATTCTTATCAAAATTTTAATTATTTTCATATTTTCCTTAATTTAATCATTTTCAATATAACTATAGTTATATTAAAAAATTTATTAAAATATAATAATAAATTTATTTATACTACATTTTAGTAAAATTTTCCAAAAAAATTCAATTATTTAGAAAATTTTTTTGAAAAAATTCTATGGAAACATTTAATTATTTTTGATAAATAATACAGTTTTTATAGAAATTCAATTTTTCGGAGAAATTCAATTGAGGCCTTGGATCCAATAACTCGCCCGACGCTTGGAGGAACGCGCAACTGCCAGTCAGTGAGCAGTGAGCGCCTCTGGGCCACTCACTGCTACCCGACTGGTATTAGCGCGTGCCTTCGAGCGTCGGGCGAGTTATTGGATCCAAGGCCTCAATTATATTCAAAAATTTAAGAAAATTCTCATCGAAATTTCAATTATCTTTATAAATAATAAAAATCTTCTGCGTAATTTAATTATTTTCAAAAATTTTATGGCATGAACTTTTATAAATAATTGAATTTTGAAATGGTTTCAAATTAAAAACCTTGAAAATTCGAATTTTTCATACTTTTAACTAACAATTCTGTAGAATTAATTTTTTAAAAAAGTTTATAATTGAATATTTTTTTTAAATTATTTTATGTTTTTATTTTCTAATATATATTTAATTTCAGAATATTCGAAAAATAAATTCTTTCACTGGTTCGAGCTTTGTAAACATATAAAATTATATTATGTACACAAATTTATCTTATAAATATATTAATCTTCAAAATTTTAGCGCTCTTCGCTGGACACCCAGTTAAATTTTATGGGTTTTAAAATTTTAATACTTACTAATTTATTGAAAAAATAAGACTTTTGAAATAAAAATATCATAGTCAAATTACTTTCTTATGATATAGGCGTTTTTTATAACAAAATTTAAAATTAATGGAATAATATACCTACGCAAAAAAATTCGGGAATTTTGTATATTTAAGCGGGAAATGTACGGGAATTTTATTTCATGTCTTCGCTGGACACCCTGAAAAAAGATTTTGAAAACCGCTGCCAAGTTGTACATTTTCTTTTATAATTTTGGTGCTCATTTCATGAAATGAAGCATGGTGCTTCATCATAGAGATGATAATAATAATAATAATAGAAATATATGAATAACTTTTTATAAATATGGTAAAAGTGATTGAATCTTGGGTCAATCAATGTATTTTTAAATACCCTACAAGATAGTTATAATAGTTTAATAGTTAAACAAAAATTTTCAAACAAAAAAGTTGAGAAAATGTAATTTTCCACAATTTTTGGTTTTTAAAATACGAATATTTTCGAAATTTATTATCGAATTAGGTTCAAAAATATGTCAATCGAAGCGTTTTTTAATGCTCTACAAGTTGGTAATGATAATTTTAAAGTTACTTCTACATTTTTTAACAAAATTTTCAAAAAAATCTTATTATCCAAAATTTTTTATTTTTAAAAGTTTAATATCTCACGTTAATATGGACAAAAAATGTTCAATAAGCACTCAAAAGATGCGTCTAAAAAAACTCTACAAAATTAGAGAAAAACATTTATAGGTGTCCTAACATTTTTTTTAAGATATTTATGAAAATGTAATGTTTACACATTTTTGAACTCCTGAGGTCAAATAACAAAGATTTGTCAAAAAATCTAACTCGAAAAATTTTGGTATTACAATACTTCCTCTATGAGGAAGTAATAATTGAAATTTTGTAAAATTTAGTTGAAAATAATCGATTTTTTCAAGTATTTTATTTTCGAAAATCAACTTTCGAAGAACTTCAATTAAAAATTTTGAAAATAATTAAATTCTCAAAAATTTTAATGAAAATTAACTTCTAAAAATTATATTTATTAAAACATTTTTGAAAAAATTGTAATTCTCTTGAAGTTTTTATTCTAATTTTATAAAATTCAATTATTTTTTCAGTATTTTCAATAACATTTTTCGGAAAATTTAAAAATACGTAATAATTTTATTATATAAATATTTAAAAACGTGCTATGTATTTTTCCATAGCAATTAAAAATTTTTTTAAAATTTTAATCCTTCTGGAATTTAATTATTTTCAAAAAAAAATGTTCTCTAATTTTTCTCTAATGTTGAGAAAGTTTTAGAAAATTTTATAAAATAATCAAGTTTACGAAGAATTTCAATTAAAATTGAAATTTTTAAAATTTTATATTCGTGAGAAAACAAATAAGTATTTAAATATTTATCTAACTTATTGAAGCTGAATTCAGAAATCAGTGAAAGGTCAGGGAAATACAAAATAAAATTTTTGTGAAAACGCCGACTTATATAATCGAATTTTTCTATTTTTAATTGACTAAAGCGGTTTTTTGTGCCTTAAAGTCGATTCATGGCCTGTAATAATTGTTATTATTATTTCTTATTTTTAAACAAAATCTATTAATTTCAAAATACAAAAAGGCAACAGGAATACAATGTACGATTATTAATATAGTTAGACGAAGATTGCTAGTTATGACAATGCATTGATCCTTTTTTTACATTATTAATCACTTTTTTCAATCAAAAAATTGGATTAATAGAAATGTCTTAAATATTAAAATTATTGATAATTCTTATTACTATATTATAATAATCATATTACAATTAATCATATACAGTCAACTCTCGATAAGACAAACCCAAGAATTACTTTGACTTATCAAAAAAAATTTGAGTTATCGACCTTCGTCTTATTGAGAGTTGACTGTACAGTAGAACCTCGGTTATCCGAGGCACTAAACATGCTTGGATAATGCGGAATAACTCGAATAAAACGGATGGAGTGACCAAGTCTGGAAAAAAATTTTCCCAGAACCGCTATTTATGTTCATTGCATTTAAAATTTCGTTTATTTTTGTCGTTTAATATTATTTTATCATTTTAAATACATGAAAAATAATTGAACTTTTTTAAATTCTCATTAGTTCGCATTTGAATAAAAAATTGTATTCGAATAAAATATTTTATTCGAATTAAATTATTATAAAATGTTGACATAAAAGCGAGTGGATAATTTTGATTATTAATGCTATTTCAGTGTAAGTTTTTAGATTTAAATATCCAACGCGCACACAACTTTTGATGAAATTCTCATTGAAGTTTTTTTCTAAAAATAAAAAGGAGAAAAGTGAGGATGAGAGGGAAAAATAAAGTTGTGTTCGTGTTTTTACATTTATTTATTAATATTAATCAAAGGATCGCGAGCTTGTGGAGAAATGGAGTTCCAGTGTTCACCAGGGCAATGTATTTCTATTTCCTGGGTCTGCGATAGCCAATATGATTGCATCAACGGATTGGACGAGAAAAATTGTCCAAGTAAGTTTTGATCAGGTGCATCTGCATTGGACTGCTCGTGCAAAAAAGCCGTAAAGGAATCAAGCAACCAGGGCCAAAATGTGGGGGGAAAAAGGGAGAGAGGAAATTGCGGATGAACGTTAGCATGAATAAAATAAAAATACTCTTTCAGCGACCCGACGACGTCTCAGAATTCATAAATTGCATGCTTTTTTTTGCTCTCAGAAAAATATTTCCATTTTAAAGCAATTCAACGAATTTTTCCACTATGAGAAACTTTAAATTATTGTAAATTCCATTATTTCACTGAAATCACTTCTTTCTCGTTTGTTCCGTCTGATTTGATTTATTTTTTAAATCTTCCTCCAACTCAAAGAGTTTCACGAGAAATTTATTTCTCTGTTAACTTTTTATTGTTTACTATTCTTTTTTTTGTATATTATTATTATTATTATTTATTTTCTTTTGTTTATTTATTTAGTATTGATAGGCTTATAAAACAAAAATAAGATTTATTATTATTTCTATAATTGTTATTATATTCAGGTCTCGGACTTTTCTTCTAAATAACTCAATAAAATACTACTTTTTTGTTATAAAATGCAAATTATACTTTGATTTTTTACTGCAAAAAAAAACTGTAGTCAAATATTGCGAAATTGACTTTAAATCAATATTTCTATAAGATAATTAAATATTCAAAAATATATATAATTAAAAAGTTTTTGAATATTTTACATTTTTTAAACTTTTATTGAAAATAATCGATTTTTTAAAGTATTTCATTAAATTTTTAAAAATTGAATTTTAGAAATCAGTGTCTTTTTTAGCGACTTAAAGTCGATCCGAGGCCTGTTTATTATCTAATTTATATTATGTATTATTTAATATTTATTTTATTTGCGGGGATTTTATTTTCTTTTACTGGGAAAAATTTACTTGTGACGAATCGAGCCTTCAGGGGATTTAAGTTTTACTTTTTCCAAGTTTTACTGTCGGAAATTTAAATGTCATTTTTTATTAAAGAATCTAGAATTTTAAATTGACGTTTAAACGAGACATGCTTTTTACAAACTCAATGTTTGATGTTTTAAGCTTTATAAACTTGTTTTTTATTATACATTACGTATTTTACTAGGTATATATTAATGTATACATTTATCTTTTCTTTATTCTGGGCTGTTGCATGATTTTTTTGCTTGCTCATATTTCTCTTTCAGATACACACAAATCAATTATTTTTTTATGTTTCAATTATTTTTCTCGTTGATTTAAAACAATAATTTATAATTATATAACCATTAGTTTTAATTAATAGAATTGTTTTTTAAATAAAAAATAAAAATATTTATTTAAATATAATATTTAATGCAAAATAATACATATTTAGGTATATTTTTGAAATCAAGTAGGGTCATTTGGGGTGAATGTAAACAGTTGAAATTCAAAGTCAGGGAAAGTAGAATTGGTCAGAGAAATCAGGGAAAAGTCATAGATTTTTATTAAAAGTACTGCTGGAAAAAATTTAATTTTTAGAATTCGTAAGAAAATTCTCAATTTTGGTGTCTTTTTTGTTTGCCTCATAAACTATGAAATTACCACGAATTCTAATACAAAACCTTCAAGTTTTTCTATTTCTGACAATAATTTCTTTTTAAATAACTTTTTTTTCAAAAAATAATCATAAAATTATTATACTCACAAATTATTATTTAATGAATAATTTTACTTAAATATTTCAAAATTAATTGAATTTTAAAAGAGTTGCGTTTTTAATTTTCATATTTAAATAGATGACTTCAAAAGATTTCAATTTGAAATTTTAGAAAATTTCAATTTTAAATGAATTTAATTACAAATTTTCAAGAACTTAAATTTTTGAAAAAATTTTAATAATTCCAATTCTTCTGAAATTAGTTAAATTTTTTAAAATATATTTATTTAATTATTAAGAATAATGTATTTACAGAAAAATTTTAATTAAAAACTCTAAATGTATTGAATTTTTGAAAAGTTACAAATTATTGCAAAAATTCAATTATTTTCAAAAGTATCAAAATTCTTCTCAGAAATTCAATTATAATAGGATAAACAAATTTTTAAAAAGTAATAAAAAGAATAAAAAGAAAGTAAAAAAGAAGAAATAAAATTTAAAAAATGAAAAATAGAAAGAGACACGAAAGAAATGATATTGAAAACGTAATAAATTGAATAGTTAATGAATGAAATTAGCAATTTATGGGACCTGAAACGTCGAAAGCGAAATGAATCGCTTTTTTCTCACGGTGTAACCATAATCGTCACCATCAACATCATCATCATCATTGGACTCTGTTTATTATACCTACAATTTCGAATCTCATCACTCATTATGACACTGTAGGATTTCATGCGACGAATTGTTAACATTTATAGGAGTTAAGAATTGCACGTCGGATCAATTCACATGTCGATCGGGAAATGGGGAATGCGTGGCATTGACGTGGATGTGCGATGATACTCCTGACTGCTCCGATGGCTCGGATGAAGCTGATTGCAGTAAGGGCTTTTGCATGAATCCATTGCATGCTCAAAATCAATTCACAATCAGTTCTCTTGATTCGATCACTCCCATCTGATCATTTACATTTACATTCAATTTTTTTCTTCTTTTTTTTGTTTGTATTTACTTTTTTTATTTTCGTCCTTTTTTCCCATCTTTGTTAACAGTATATTACACCCATAGAAAAAAGCAATTTTTTTTAATAATTATCTCTCCATTTATTCTCTTGAAACAAAAGTATTCGATTTCAATGTGTAATATTTTTATTCTTTCCTGGTAGGTCCATGAAGTTTTAAACGTTTAAAAAACGAAAAATTTTAATTCTACCAGACCAATTTTTTTTTCACCCAGACTTAAAGGAAATGTATCAGGGAAGTCAGATGTATCATTGTTAACGTGTTTCGACTTCCGGAAGTCAGCCATCTTGGATTTATTACATTCCGTATATATCTCTTACATAGAGGTATACTAAATTATCATTTAAACACCCGCCACCAATTTTTTTTTCCGCGAAATTTTTAAAGAATGTTTAGAAACACTCACTGAACAATTTCGAACAAATTTCGACTTCCGCAAGTCCGCCATCTTGGAAATAATAACCTCAAAAAATACTAAATCTGCGTTTATACACCCGCCACCAATTTTTTTTTCAGTGAAACTTTGAGGGATTGTTAAGAATGGTTCACTGAACAATTTCCAACAAATTTCGACTTCCGCAAGTCCGCCATCTTGGAATTAATAACCTCAAAAAATACTAAATCGGCGTTTATACACCCGCCACCAATTTTTTTTTCAGCGAAATTTTCAGAGAATGTTTAGAAACACTCACTGAACAATAACGAACAAATTTCGACTTCCGCAAGTCCGCCATCTTGGAATTAATAACCTCAAAAAATACTAAATCTGCGTTTATACACCCGCCACCAATTTTTTTTTCGGCGAAATTTTCAGAGAATGTTTAGAAACACTCACTGAACAATAACGAACAAATTTCGACTTCCGCAAGTCCGCCATCTTGGAATTAGTAACCTCAAAAATACTAAATCCTCGTTTAAACACCCGCCACCAACTTTTTTTCGGCGAAATTTTCAGAGAATGTTTAGAAACACTCACTGAACAACTACGAACAAATTTCGACTTCCGCAAGTCCGCCATCTTGGAATTAATAACCTCAAAAAATACTAAATCTTCGTTTAAACACCCGCCACCAATTTTTTTTTCAGCCAAATTTTCAGAGAATGTTTAGAAACACTCACTGAACAATTACGAACAAATTTCGACTTCCGCAAGTCCGCCATCTTGGAAATAATAACCTCAAAAAATACTAAATCTGCGTTTATACACCCGCCACCAATTTTTTTTTCGGCGAAATTTTCAGAGAATGTTTAGAAACACTCACTGAACAATTACGAACAAATTTCGACTTCCGCAAGTCCGCCATCTTGGAAATAATAACCTCAAAAAATACTAAATCTTCGTTTATACACCCGCCACCAATTTTTTTTTCCGCGAAATTTTTAAAGAATGTTTAGAAACACTCACTGAACAATTTCGAACAAATTTCGACTTCCGCAAGTCCGCTATCTTGGAAATAATAACCTCAAAAAATACTAAATCTTCGTTTAAACACCCGCCACCAATTTTTTTTTCAGCGAAATTTTCAGAGAATGTTTAGAAACACTCACTGAACAATAACGAACAAATTTCGACTTCCGCAAGTCCGCCATCTTGGAAATAATAACCTCAAAAAATACTAAATCTTCGTTTAAACACCCGCCACCAATTTTTTTTTCAGCCAAATTTTGAGAGAATGTTTAGAAACACTCACTTTAATTAACTATGCAGTTTCCACGAATTCTTATAAAAAACTGTCAACTTTTGCTGTTTCTGGCAATAATTTCTTTTTAAATAATTAATTTTTGCTTCCTCGTGAGGAAGCTTTGCAGTCGTTTAATTTACAAAGTTTTTAAAAATCCTTTCAACAAATTTTCTGCTAGATAGAATTATGTTATATAAGACCCTGAACAATTGTCGGGATCTATTAATGTGTGTGTGTGTGTGGATCCCGATTTTTGTGTACACGATAGCTCGAAGAGGTTTTAACGAATTTGGCTAAAATTTACCAGGTATATTTATCAGAAAAATATCTCGAAATGTATTGATAGACTTTTAAAATTCTGAAAAAATTTTTTTTTTTTAATTTTTGTTTAAGCTGGTTATTGAAATTAATATATAATAAAATCTTATTCTTTGCATCAAGGCGAATCGACTAGTCTATACAAAGTATAAATAGTATGAGAATTTACTGAGTTAATCATAATTAAAGCTGAAAAATTCGCATTTTTATCAAAAAATGAGTTCTTTACGCAAAATTATGTTGCCGTATAAGAAAATCTTACTCATTTGTTTCTAAAATCTTATTCTTTGCATCAATACGAATCGATTTGCAACTTGTTTACGAACTAATATAAAATTATTATATAAAATTATTATATACTTCGAGTCTTCAACTCATAGTGATCGATTTTTTCATGTTTTATAATAATATAGTTTCATTAGTAATTGAATTACAAAAAATTTGTTTTTGAAATTCTTGAAAATCCTAATTCCTATGAAAAATAATAATCATTAAATATTTATTTATAAAAAAAGTTGTACATGTTTTCAAATAATTTTACAATTAAAGAAATTCGTAAGTAAATGTAATAGAACATTTTTTAAGTATCTAATAATTTTCAGAGTGAATTAGAATATTCTTTACAGTCAAGGAAAAAGTCTAAAAATTGTCAGAAAAATTTATTTTAACATTTTTATTATAAAAGTTTTAGTTTTTATGTTTTTTACAAAGTAAAAGTAATCTCTTTGAACTAAATACAATTAGTACCTTCCATTTTGTTGGTATCTATATCCGTTGTTATTGTAATTATTATTATTATTATAATTATTGTTATACCCTTCGTAATTTCTATGGCGGACTTGCGGAAGTCGAAATTTCTTCGTAATTCTTCAGTGAGTATTTCTAAACATTCTTTAAAAATTTCGCGGAAAAAAAAATTGGTGGCGGGTGTTTAAACGAGGATTTAGTATTTTTTGAGGTTATTAATTCCAAGATGGCGGACTTGCGGAAGTCGAAATTTCTTCGTAATTCTTCAGTGAGTATTTCTAAACATTCTCTAAAAATTTCGCGGAAAAAAAAGTTGGTGGCGGGTGTTTAAACGAGGATTTAGTATTTTTGAGGTTACTAATTCCAAGATGGCGGACTTGCGAAAGTCGAAATTTGTTCGTAATTGTTCAGTGAGTGTTTCTAAACATTCTCTGAACATTTCGCCGAAAAAAAATTGGTGGCGGGTGTATAAACGCAGATTTAGTATTTTTTGAAGTTATTAATTCCAAGATGGCGGACTTGCGGAAGTCGAAATTTGTTCGTAGTTGTTTGGGGATCTGACCTAAACATTCTATAAAAATTTCGCCGAAAAAAAAGTTGGTGGCGGGTGTTTAAACGAGGATTTAGTATTTTTGAGGTTACTAATGGCGTAGGTTACTATTTTTTTAATAAAGATGGCGGACTTGCGGAAGTCGAAATTTCTTCGTAATTCTTCAGTGAGTATTTCTAAACATTCTTTAAAAATTTCGCGGAAAAAAAAATTGGTGGCGGGTGTTTAAACGAGGATTTAGTATTTTTTGAGGTTATTAATTCCAAGATGGCGGACTTGCGGAAGTCGAAATTTCTTCGTAATTCTTCAGTGAGTATTTCTAAACATTCTTTAAAAATTTCGCGGAAAAAAAAATTGGTGGCGGGTGTATAAACGCCGATTTAGTATTTTTTGAGGTTATTAATTCCAAGATGGCGGACTTGCGGAAGTCGAAATTTGTTGGAAATTGTTCAGTGAACCATTCTTAACAATCCCTCAAAGTTTCACTGAAAAAAAAATTGGTGGCGGGTGTATAAACGCAGATTTAGTATTTTTTGAGGTTATTATTTCCAAGATGGCGGACTTGCGGAAGTCGAAATTTGTTCGAAATTGTTCAGTGAGTGTTTCTAAACATTCTTTAAAAATTTCGCGGAAAAAAAAATTGGTGGCGGGTGTTTAAATGATAATTTAGTATACCTCTATGTAAGAGATATATACGGAATGTAATAAATCCAAGATGGCTGACTTCCGGAAGTCGAAACACGTTAACAATGATACATCTGACTTCCCTGATACATTTCCTTTAAGTCTGGGTGAAAAAAAATTGGTCTGGTAGAATTAAAATTTTTCGTTTTTTAAACGTTTAAAACTTCATGGACCTGCTTTTTTAGGGTGTTAAAGAAACCACTTGTCTATTATTACTATTATTTTTTTTATTTATTATTAATATTAGCATTACTGTTTGTTTATTTATTTATTTATCTATTTAGTATATCAACAGGATTACAAATAAAATATTATTTATTATTTATTTATTTATTTGTTTGATTGATTGATTGATTGTTTATTTATTTAGTATTAACGGGATTACAAAACAAAAAAAATTTATTTATTATTATTTATTTGTTCGTTTCATTGTTTATTTATCATCAGCAGTCTTAAAAAGTAAAAGAAATGATCATTTATGAATTATTATTTTTTTCACTGACAAGAATCATTCTTCTTTTCATTTTTCAAGTTTCTCTGCGAAAAAAATGGCCTTTACTATAAAGCATTCATATAATGTGAAAGTAATGTTACGTCCTCGCAGAATTTCAAAAGAGAAAAGTAAATAAATAAATATATTTAAAAAACGATTGAAGGAAATGTTTTTAAAAAAAGGGTATATAAAGAGGGTGAAAACATATAATGGAACAAATATAGAAAATGAATAAAATAAAGAGAAATAAAAATAAAGGGAAATTATATTTGGTTTTTTTAAAGGAAAAACATAAAATTTTATACTTCTTTTTTCTTTATAAAACCTTATTAGTGAGAATTGAAAAAGAAATTAATATATAGGTAATTAAAATTTTAATAAATTATTTTTAATTTCTTTTAATTTGATAAATTAATTATTATTTGATATTAAAAATGTTGTTTTTATTTTTGTTGTATAAACAGAAAGGCATGACAGCTTGAATGAAATACGTTTCTGCTTTTTATTCGAATTTTCGAATTTTTCTATTCAAACTTAACTCAATTCTACTTAATTTTCAAATTTAAGAAAAGAGAATTTATAACATTTTATTATAAAAATATGGATAATTTAATTTCCAGGTCTCGGATAGTTCGAGTTTTTTCGTCATATTTTCAAAAAATGCAATGTTTTCAACTTTTCTCACAAATATTGCACAAAAAATCCCACTTTTTTTGTATAAAATGCCTTCGATTTTTGTAGTAAAAAAAAATAACTTTAGTCAAAAATGTTTCAAAATTTATTTATGATTAGTTTTTCGGGAAGACAATTAAATTTTCGAAATACCTATCTACCTATATGATTTAAAATAGTTTTTAAATAATTGAAATTTTGTAAAATTTTATTGAAATTAATTAATTTTTTTTAAGCATTTCATTAAAAAAACATTTTTGAATTAAATACAAAACTTAAATTTTAGACATTTTGAAAAATTTTAATTGTAGCTTTTATAAAAATAATTGAATATTCTCAAAAGTTATAATGAAAAATCAAAATTAGTTTTAAAAAAAAGTATAGGTATCTATTAAGAAATTGTTTTCAAAAAGTAGTTCTTAGAATTCTTTTTATTATAATTTTTCAAAATTCAATTTTTTAAAAATATTTTTAAATTTCACATTTCCAAAAATTCAAAATATCTGCAAAAAATAATTACATTAAAATTTTGTAATAAATCTAATTCTTTTGGATTTTGAAGAAAAAAATTTTTTTCAATATTTTTAATTAAAATACTTTTAAAAAATTGATTAGTTTTTTTAAACAGTCCAAAAATTCTCTTTAAACATTCAATTTCAAAATTTTTTTTACTAAATTTCAATTATTTGAAAATATTTCAATTTATTTACAATTAAAAAATTTATTATCAATCATTTAAAAATTATTTTAAAAGTATTTTTAATAAATGATGAAAATTAGACTTTTTATGATCATAATTTGTTAAAATTCAATTATTTTCAATATTTATAATTAGACATATTTCATTTACCTAAAGTTTCGAACGTTCAAATGAACGAAATATTTTTTTTGTGCTCTAATATTTTAAAAAATTAATAGACTGAAATGGAAAAACATTGTAAATAATTATTTATTCAGCTAAAAAAATATTTTTTAATTATAAAAAACAATATTTTGAAAATAAAATTCGGATTAAAAGAAGTAATAAAAATATCGTCGTTCAATTGAACGTTCGAAACTTTAGGGACATCATATTTTCGAAAATTCTGAATATATACAGAAAGAAGTTACTTTAAATTTTTTGGTTTAATTTTTTTATAATTCACCTACATAACTTCAAAGAGAAATTATAAGGCGTTGCAGTTCCAATTATTATACAGAAATTGATCTTTTGTATTTAAGTAATTTAATTCTCGAAAAACTTTCGGAAAATTATTAAAAATAACTTTCTCGACTTTTTTTACGTCTTAAAGTCAATCCGAGGCCTCAATTTGTTAAACAGAAACGATTATTATTAATAAATAAATTGTTAACAAAAATAATTAATATTGTTAATATTAACAATATTAATGTTAGATTAATAATATTGATTATATTACCAGTGTTAATAATTTTAATATTGTTAATACTAACAATTTTAATATTATCAGTGTAAATAATTTTAATATTAATATTGAATAATACTATTAATAATTAACAATTTATTTTATCGAAATTCATTTTTCTGGATTTATTTAAAATTTTTCTAAAAATGAAAACCAAATTTTTTCAAATATTGATTTTCAACATGTCAATAAAATTATAATCCAATTAAATTTCCTTTCCTAATGGAGCCTGAATATGATGTTACGTTAGTGTAATAATAACTACTTAATATTAATGATCATTTACATCATGTATAAAGCTTTCTCTGTGCTTCGATACTGTGTTGTATAATTATTAACAAAATACCTAGGTATTTTTTTCATTTTTTTTAGCTATGTGAATTTTCTCTTTCTGATGTGCTTTTCTTTTTTCTGGTTTGAAAATTGTTTCATTAACTGAAAAGTGTTTGCGTAATTTCATTTATTTATTATTTATTTTGGAAAATCGACTTTCTTGTTTTGTTTTACGATTTCAAAATATGCTTTTTGTGAATTCGATTAATTGTTTTTCAATTTATTTTATGTGTTGCATTGACTTTTTATATTTTTTATTGTATACATTTCGTTGATAAGTAAAGAGTAAAAAATTCAGTTTATTAAAAAACAAAATAAATAGAAACATCTTTTTGAATGTGAAAATTAAAAATTAGAATTTTGTTGATAATGAAGAAATTTTTATAATTATTATTAGCTATTATTGATATTAAATTATTTTTTTTAAGGAAAATTTTTGTAATCAATGTTTCTAAAATAATTAATTTTTAAAATAATATTGAAATCAATGTTTTAATTATTTCTGTTTTTTTGGGATTCAAATAAAAAATTAGTTAGTGTCTAAAGCAATGAAATTATAATAAAATATGTATAAGTAAAATATTAAACTATTATAATCAAATAATAAATAATTTTTTTTCTATTAATAAATTAATATATTTTTTAATTAATAAGTTAGTAGTTTTTTTTATTCGTAGCTTTTCTGCGGATATCAAATTGAGACTAAGATCGAATCAAAATTGTTGCATCAATTTTGTTACGATTTTTGTCTCAATTTGATATCCGCAGAAAAACTAATTAATAAATTGATAAATTATATTTTATTTCAATTAAGTTGAATATTTTTTTACTTTACTTTGCTTTACAATTAAATGAGATATTTAACAAAGAAAAATTTGTTTCGTTTTGTTTTTTTTTTTTTGAGAAAAAGTCTAAAATCGTGAGCTAATTTATTTTGCACTTTTGCAGATGAAACTTGCCGATCGGACGAATTCACCTGTGCCAATAAGCATTGTATTCATAAACGATGGGTTTGCGATAAGGACGATGACTGCGGCGATGGAAGCGACGAGAAAGATTGCGGTCCAGTTACTTGCAATGATGGCACGGATTTTGCCTGTTCTCCAACACATTGCATCTCATCGAAATGGCGTTGCGATGGAGATTTCGATTGTCCAGATCACTCAGATGAAATTGGGTGCAAGGATCCACCGCACGGGAAAAATAGCCACTGCGCCGAACAGGAATTTGATTGTGGCGATAGGATAACTTGCATCCATAAAAGTTGGGTTTGCGACGGCGACAAGGATTGTCCAAATGGTGCCGATGAATCCTTAGCGAAATGCCACAACATCTCTTGCAGAGCCGATCAATTTCAGTGTGGCGATCGATCTTGTATATCAGGTATGTTGCTTCAATTTTTTTTCTTTTAATTTTTTTCTTTATTACCTTGGGAGTTTTTCTTTTTTTTCTAATGTTGACACACGGTCAAGAAAATCAGGAAATTTTATCAAAAGTGATGGAAAAATGCGCTGAAAAAAAAATTTATTTCATTCAAATAATCGATTATTACTTGTCTATTATCAAATAAATATTTACTTGAATCGAATAATTTTTATTTGAATCAAATAAATTTTATCTAAGCCAATAAACCAAACCCTTTCAGTATTTGAAGAAAATTTAAGTGACTCAATTTAATTGACTCAAATAAAAATTGTTTGATACAAATAAATATTTATTTGATACAAACAAAAATTATTTGATGCATACAAAAACTATTTGATACAAATAAATATTTATTTGATAATAGACGAGTAATCTTTTAATTGAATCAAACACATTTTTTGTCAGTGTATAAAAATTTTAGAATTATGTAGTACAAAAAAAAGTGGGGAAATTTTATCTTCAAAAATTCTTCAAAGTGATTGAAATTTTCAAAAATGTTAGATTAAAAACTTGTGAATTTTCTCTTTTTAAATCTATAAAGAAAATCTGTAAATTCAATTATTTGTAAAATTCAAATTCACAAGATTTCCAATTTATTTGATAATTCTTATAATTAAAATTTTTTTTTAATTAATGCAAGTATCTTAAAAAAATTAAATTAAAATCTCTCAAAAAGCTATTTTTTAAAAAAATTTTACGTAAAATAAGTTTTTACATTAGTGTTGAATTATTAGACATTAATTTCTTCACAACTAGTGAAATTTTCAAAAATGTTATTTTAAAACCTTTTGCATTTTTTTTTTAAATCTGTAAAGAAAATTTCTAACATTAATTATTCTTAAAATTTAATTTCATAAAATTTCTAATTAATTTAATAATTTTTATTATTAAATAAAATTGTGTAAATAATGCAAATATCTTAAGAAAAACTGAATTAAGATTACTCAAAAAGCTAATTTTTTAAAAATTGCACATAAAATTATATTTAAAAATAATTTGTGAAAAATTTAAATAATTTTTAGAATAAATATTTAATTCAATTATATAAAACAAATGTAATTACTTCTTTAAATAATTAAATTCTAGAATAACTTTCTTAAAGTCATTAATTGCAATTAAATTAGGACAAATTTTAGTTAAATGTTATAATTTTCGGAAATAATAGAATTTCAGAAGGTATTAAATTAAAATTTCAAAAATTATCTTCAATATTGCAGTGTAAAAATAAAATATAATAATTAAATATTTATTTAAAACTTATTGCAGTTTAAAATAATTTTATTTATATTTTTGAAAAAATTAAGTTTCTGAGAAATTTTAATTTAATTCTTTTCAAGATATACTTAAACTTTTGAAGAAAATTTTATCAGACAATAAATTATTACATCAGTGGAACTTTTTACAAATTTAATTAAAAATAATTAAATTTTGTAGAGAATTTCTTGATTTAAAAAAAAAATTGTAGTTTCAAAAGTTTAATTTGAAATTCTGAAAAATTACGTTTCTAAAAGATTTCGTTTTGAATATTTTGAAATAATTTTTATTACTTGATTCAATTTGAATTTTATTACAAAATATTTTTTTTCGATACTTAAAAAATCCATTTTTATCTAAATATTTAATTTACATTATTTTTTGCTTCCTCATAAGGAAGCTTTGCATTCGTGACGATTTTCAATTTTTCAAAAGAAGGTTATATGGACCCATTTTCATCTATAACATATGTATATTCAATTCTGAGCAAATGTCCAGATGTATGTGTGTGTGTGTGTATGTCACAAAAATTGTGTACAAATTATCTCAAACAAATTTTGATGGATTGTCTTGAAATTTTGCAGGTTTATTGCAGTCATTAATACCTAAAATCTGACACAAGGATTTTCAAAAATATCTAAAAAAAAAATTTTTTTGTATTTTTGTAAATAATTTTTTTATTTGTTAATATTTTAATTAATTATTCTCAAAATTACATTCCTGACAAGAAAACGAATCGATTGATGTATACAAAGTATATTTTTTATCAAAATTTATAAAATTAATAGAAATTTTTCTTTTTCACAAAAAATTCAAATTTTGTATTTTTTCATAATTTATTTAATATTAATATTTTTAAATGATTATTCTATCATAAAAAAGAAGCAATTTGCATATGAAATAGAGGTGTGTATTTAATCGAACCGAACATTAATCGACTCGACAACAGAAAATTCGAATCATTTCGAATTGCAAAAGTTTGCAAACCGCAATATAATTACATTTAATTTATGAATATATCTTGCTGCATCAAAAAGAAATTTCCTTAAGAAGAATGTATGCTTTGATTGTTATGCTTTTGAAAAATCATAATTTGGTTTTCATGGAGATTTGTACCTAAAATGAGGTAATGAATATATTATTAACTTTAGTAAATATTTTATATGTTTGATTGGATTCTATCCCGATTCTATGCGATAAATTTAATTTTATACATATGTTTAGATGGAGTTTGCTAAAATTTTGTAAGTGAGTTACGTCACGAATTTATATTTTATATGTTGAGGAAGCTAAATGGTCATGAAATGAACAACTTGTTATTTCAGTGCAGTAATATTTAAATATATTTTTAAATAATTAAAAATATTTTATTCATTAGAAAGTTTAAAAATTTAAGGAAATCCTAGTTAATTTCACTCACGCTTTTTCTATTTTTAAAAAATTAAAATTATTATTTGTATACCAAAAAAATTGTCTGTTTGCATTTTTTTGAATGTATATTTTGATAGACATATTTTTTCCCCATTTTGGTGTTTTAAATGACTTCTTTCAAATTTTGGAGAACATCGGTCATGAAATGCATTTAGCGGCATCGTCAATAAATGTGCAAATGTATCTAGAATTGGAAGGGAAGATTTTGAAATAGGTCAGTAATTTCATCTCGTCAGTATGAATAAATTTGTTGTGAACAATGCTATACGTTTGAAGCATTTAAAAAAAGTTTTGACGTTTCGAAAGTTTATCTTGTCGGAAATAAAATTTAAGTTTCATGTAAAGCTGCGGAATCGCATTATCAATTTCTCGTTAATTATAAAATAAATTTTGCTTTGTTTCATTTTAAATTAGGTAATTTAGAATATCTTCTAAATTATCTTTTTTCTAATAAAATAAATAAAAATTTTCTCTGATTTCTTTTTCATTTCTATGCTCTTTTTTTTAACTATTATTTCTTTAAATATTTATTTATTTATTTATTTAGATTTAGATTTGTTTAATGTTTGTTTAATATTTGTAAAACTTATGTAATTGATTTTCTTTTGTAAATTTTGTATTTATTGTTTCATTTTCGCCAGTGTTTCAAAAGTCACGAATTTATTTTTGTGGTCTACAAAATATTCTTTTCTTATTAATTCAAAATTGATTTTTGATTCTATTTTGAGAAATTTAACGATGAATTAATATTCAACGAGAATTCTCTTTCGTTTCGAGATTTACTTGGGACTTTTTTCGTGCGTTTTTATGTCTTGATTAAAATTTTCTAATTATCACGAGGAATTATTGAAGTTGATTTAAGTATTTTCATGAAAAAAAATAACTACAGTCAAACGATCGAACGATTCAATTGTTTTCGAAAATTTTTCGAAATTCAATTACTTTTAATATATATACCATTTTTATAAAAAAATTTTCAACAGAATTCAATTATTTAAAATTTTTTTTATAAAATTCTTTGCAAACATTCAATTATTTTCGTAAATAATAAATTTATCACAGGAATTCAATTATAAAAAAAAAATTAATAAAGTTCTCAAGAATTCGATTTTTTTTAAACATTTTAATAAAATTCGTCAAATTTTCGATAACCTCTCTTTTTTAATAATTTATTCAGTTTTCAAGATAATTTTTTTAAATTAATTGTCGAGTACGAAGCCTTTTTTTAATCAAAATAGTCCTTTTCACATTAATATAGTACCGTCAACAGGGGTAACTATGGAACAAAAAAAGCGATTTTTTGAATTTCTTCTTCACTAAAAATTTAAAGTGTACAAAAAAATTTTATTAGCTATTCAAATATATTGTGAACATTCTTCTAAAGATTTCCTTCAAGTTCCATTTACAAAAAAAATTTTTTGACGGAGTTATTTAAACATAAATATTGCTCCATAATTGCCTCGCATTTGGGGCAATTATAGAACAAATTATTATAATTAATTATAATTAAGCAAGTATAACAAATTTTCTTTGTCTGTATATTAAGAAAACTTTATTTAGTAGGGGAAACTAAGCGCGGTTGTTACAATTTTGATAAAAACAGTTACTGTGATTAAAGTTTAACTCCAATTTGTTTGGTCAAACTATTAAATCAAAGGTATATTATCCAGCTTTAAAAGGCAATAATTGATTTAGCTCTATATCTATTATTTAAATAACTAGAAGCATTTTAGTGACAGCGTGTAAATTGTATCACTGCCCAAAGTGAATGTCGGTTGTTACAGTACCAAGAATCCTCTGCAACGTTTCTAAATTGAAGACAAATAATTTTTTATAACCATTTTTATTAATTATTCGTAATATAGTTTAATTTAAGTACATAATTATTACTATTAGTTATATAGTTCCCAATAATGTATATTAAGTAATTTGAGTTTTATTTGGTAATTGAGGTAAGTTAGATGAGAAATAATTTTCCTCTATGAGGAAATACACTTAAAAACTATTTAGAACGAAAGTAACAATTGTTTAAACAATTAAAATAAAACAAATCAAACAACAAAAGTAAACACTTGTTTAGTCCATTTGTTTTGACATTTTATAGGGGTTATGTAGCTCAATGTAATATAGTAGTGACAGTTCCTTAGAGATGGCAGCACTAATACTATTTCGATATGAAAGTAACTTAAAAAGTTTTTTTTCATTAATTTTGAATGATTTTGAAGTCGAATTTAGAAAAAACATGAGATTTTATATAAAAAAAATGAGTGTGA